GGAGGGGGATGCTGGTGGGGTGGATGGGAGGGGGGTGGGTCATAGGGGGATGGTTTGTAGTCGTTGTTGTGTGGAGAGGGGGACTGAGGGGGAGGTGTGGTGTCTGGGGTGTTTGAGAGCGGAGAGTGGTGGTTGAGGTCTTGGGTCTTGGGTCTTGGGATGGGACGAAATATGACTTCTTGAGCGATGGATTATGGTATTCAGGGACTTGGATGCTGGATTGGAGGCGTAGATTAAGCGCTACAAGTTCCAGGGAAATCTGTAGTGCGGTTGTAGTGGAGTTGTAGATGTTGACGATACACTGCACGGCTGTTTAGGGAAGACGACGTGATGGTTGCGTCTAGGCTTTTAGATACCCCCCCTTTTTAATTTCACTGTACTTGCGTGTGGAATTTTACTTTTACTCTTGTTTGTTTTTTTATGGCTTTGGGGTTCGTGGGACTATATAGTGTTGGAAGATTATGTCTCTTCGGATTTTGGGGCAGTGGAGTAGAGTGTGAGAGACCTAGCTAGTCTGCTTAGCGTAATCAGAGGGCTTACTTGATTCTACTCGATTCTACTCAAGTAGCTGAGTATCTCTCTCAGCAATCTGGCATTCAAGTCATGTGAGAGATACCTCTTTTGCAGACTATCAGATGAATTATCAATAACTTCCTCATACATACTACAATCAAGCAAGCAGCCGAGTTCATTACTGTAGCTCTTACCTCTTTCCAATCTCAATCTTATTAATGTAAATATAAATATACCAACCTCCTAGTGGAATAATTCTCACGTGCAATCCCATATGCAGTATCCCACTCGAGAACTGTTCTTATATCTTACCTAGGTACGGCTGTTGGAAGAATGATGAGGATGATGAGGATGTGTATAAACGAGCTGGTAAGTAAATGTCTTTAAAATGTTTGGGAGTAATTACTAACTTGGATAATAATACAGATACAGATGTTGCTGTCTTAATTACGAGGGTTTAGGATGTGATGGTCTAGTTTGAGGGATACTAAATGTGAATCAAACTCCACAACCCCATCTCAAAAGTAGCAAGAAACAAGGGTTATCTACTAGTATACTCCAGGGTATTTGGCAAGGACCAAGGTATCATGTGTATAAACTTCTTTTTCCACAGGTTCTGGAGTCGTAAAATATCTTCCTACTTTTAAGAAGGGGCTGGAATTTGTGAGCTAGATATTTATTATATGAATATGAATATTCTTTTTAGGCTTGGGTTTGAGCTGGGTTGAGTTGAGTGGTGCTGAGACTTTAAATTTCTTGATTTTGGTGTTTGGTGGTACTTGAGTAGTGGGTTATTTGTGGGTGAGAATATGGATGTATGTAGAGTGATGTGAAGGAAGGGGAAGCGGAATGGATGATGAGTTTGAGATAGATATGGTGTGTAGTGGAGAAGAGGTTTATGTACTGTATATACACACTCTCGTGCGATGAGATTCTTGGATGATTTACATCGCTGAGTATGGTATAAGAGTGTATGGTGATTTCTGGTGTTGTGAGGGCTCTGTTAAATTCTACCACTGATTGGTGTTTTGTAGGGTAGAGAAATTGATATGTAGGGTCTGGAGGTAATGGCAATACTTACTCTTGAGTAATGGAGTTGCTTTGGTTGTTTTGGACAGTCGAGGACTGCAGGATACTATTTGAGGGGTTTTTTGGCTGCGAAATCGAGAGGATTTATAGCGATATATAAGATTATGGTAGCGCTAGGTCTGTGGCTTGATGTTCCTTGTGAGGTTTGTAGATACAATTCTAAATAAGGGGCTAGGACGCTTTATTTACAGACATAATTCGACGTGTAGGTTCAAGGGGTGTTTAAGATTTGTTGTTGTAAGTTGAGTGGGTATTTATATAGCGGTAATGGGGATGCTTCTTGTGAGCTTTGTAGAGGTTGATGTGTAGTACCTTGAGTCAATCTTAGTGGGGTGGTACATTGATTTTATTAAGATGCTGTTTTCCATTCTGTATTTGAAGATTTCTAACAAGTACGGAAGACAAGTTCTTGATCCTCTTTGTCTGAGGCGATGATATAGTGAGTGGATCAGACCTCAATACTACTTAGAATAAATCATCGACTGTCTCATTATCAAACTGCACTTCGAGAAAAAGTGCGTAATAGCCGAGGCGGGCCGTGGAGATACGGTACATTCCGCGGCCCTACTGCGAGAATTGACGATGATCCATAATACTGTACGTAAAATCTGGTCCGATCCGATAGTAAGTGGCAATTCATACAGATATTCGTACTTCTTTTTAAAGTCCCGTTCTCTTCGCTCATACAATATCCTCCATTTTGTTCTTAGAGGTATGTATACTAACTGAGAAGATGTTTCGTATCCTTTGACGAATGTGTAGTTAGTCCAATAATATGGATATGCCCCTTGCCAGTATCCTTGTATCGAGGTTTATCTGTACACTAATCCTACCGTTACATTGTTGTTCAGGTCGTGTCAACTACAGAAAATCCTGGCTATAAGGATACTGGATATAAGGATAACCTCGGCACGCCTCGGTTATATGCTTAAATTTTGAGTCCCGATTTTTTTAGGTGAATATACTAAAGATACCTCTGTAACAAGAATAATACTTAGTATTTTAGGTCCCAAATGTTTTATTTTTTTTAATACCTAAAATACCCTTACTTATATCCTTAGAAGTTATTTATTCCTCGGAAATTCAGTAATTCTATATAAATTCGCTATATTTTTAAGTACAAAACTAGCACTTTGTAACAAGAATTAGTATATTAGGTAGCCTTATATAAGAACTAGTAAGTACTAAAATATATACTCCTAATACTTAAATTAATAATCAAATCGTCGCCTATGCTAAGACCCTCGCTATAAGGATAACCTCGGTTATATCCTTACGAAACTTGCCCCCGCGAATATCCTATATCCAGGTTTTGCTGTACCCCATACGGATTGTTGGTTCGCCGCGAATCCCCTCCATGGCTCCAACATTCATATTTCTGTCTGCTTAGTTTTCTCCCACGTTCTACGAGTATATACAGAGTCTCTGTAAAGTTACATTACCCTGCAATTTTCACGTCTCATCATGTCATCTCAAGCTCTAAGGCGATGTATGTCTTTGTCTTCCCCGCAGTGAAAGCGGCTACTGCATGTGCGTTTGAGTAACAGTTACCGTACTTAGGTTGCATTGTGAAGCCAATCTCAAATATCGGTCATGCTTCGAAGTCTTTCATATCGATTTCTTCGGTGGGGTTGAAACAACAGATGCGGTATGTGTTTCTTTTCCGCTTCTCTTCGCCCCCGGTCCCACCAGTACGAAAGTTGAGATCAACTAACAATCTCATTCTATATGACTCTAGACACGCCACATCTACCACCAATCCAAAACCCGCGGTCTCAGTCCCGCCAACTTTCGGATTGGCACCATCTAAAGGAATCGAAATTCTCGCTGCCCAGCGTCGTCAACGTCCCGTCGCACCCCATCTACAAATCTACAAGTGGCAGATAACATCCGTTCTCTCCAGTCTGGAACGCATCACTGGCGCCACGCTGGCGGGCGCCCTCTACATATTCGGCACCGCATATTTTGTGTCACCATATCTAGGTTGGGATTTGTCTTCGGAAGCCTTGGTTGCGGCGATGGCAGGTTTGCCAATGGCAGTCAAATTTGCTGTCAAGTCTGTTCTTGCGTGGCCTTTTTTATTCCATTTTTTTAATAGCTTGAGACATTTGGGTTGGGATTTGGGGAAGGGGTTTAAGAAGGTGGTGATTGTTCGGACTGGGTATGTGGCTGTGGCTTTGTCGTTTTTGGCGACGACTGGTTGTGCGCTATGGTTTTAGCCTTCTAAACAAATGCTTCTGTTTAGAAATCACTCCATTCACTCTCTTGCGCGGTGTATGAACGTTTTTTGTGGGGTTGAAATGTTTTGCTTTCATTCGTGTTTTTGAATTTCTCGTGGTCTTACAGTACCTTTCGCAAGGTCTCTCAGATTTATGGACACTATCCATCTTACGTTTCTCCTGCTGTTTTGGTGTGCTGATTTCGGCCTCTTGTGGTCTTACTTGATATCAATGGGCTTTATAAGCTGACAGGTATGTAATTATCAACACCGATGCAGGCTTGTCGGGACTTGAAGAATACAGCAGCTCGAGTGCGTGCTATCATTTCTTCTGCATTTGCTTCTTTGGCGGCTTTTCGAGACAGCTCTTCAAACTTCGAAATAAGATCCTTTACGAGAGATTAAATATGAGTGAGACCGTGAGTGGCAGTTTCACTGCGGACTATATTTTATCATGACATGTCAGCTGAGCTACAGACGCAAGTTTCAAGCAATTAAGACGGAGAAAGTAAATTAATACATTGTCATAATATGTGCTACTCTCCCACAAGTTGTATAGTAACATTGTGGTTACCCCATACCCACCTTTTGGGCGGTCAGTCTGCAATTACAATAAAATTTCTCATAAGTCGGAATCTTCTACTGTAGAATATCAAGTATGAGATCCTTGAAGAGAGCGTCCGAATTCTTCAATACATTCCGCATGAGTGCATATTTTGAAGATCATCTTGCCGTGATGTTCCTTTATCATATGCCTAATTATCATTATTTAGCAGGTTACTGCCTTCCGTTGCTCGGTCGATCACGGAGGGTTTTAAAAGAATGCCAGAGATATGCATTGTTATCTAGATCCCTGTCATGTAATATAAAAAGTGTGGAATAATAGCAAGGCACTTTACTATTCCTAAGAAGGGACGCTCAATACAGAAACCTGAGAGTCCTACTGACGTGCGATTTGCCTAGTAGAGTAAAGGACATGAATTCTTTCCGACAGCAGAAATTTCACTATTGCATATCCTACGAAACGGTTTCCGTCTTTGTTTGTACTGCTATCAGAGTGTGCGGTATAGCCTATTTTGTTGGTTAAGTGACCTTATCTCCGCATTTAGACTACTAGAGGCAAAATGAATTAGCAGAGGAACACTTCAAATCTAGAGATGAGACTCCTGCCTTAATATCTAAACCATTTCGATAATATAACTATTACCTTCTCCCATAACACCCTAGAAGCAACCCTAACAGAATAGACCATACATGCTTCTTTTCTCTATTCTTCAAGTCCCAGAACTGGAAATTCACCTTCCCTATGTAATGATATGAATTTACTGAATTTGGGGAAGAGATCGTCGGTCGAATTACACTGAATACGTGGCGTTTCCTTCGGCCATTTGGGGGGAAGATAGATATCAAACCTAAATCAAAGCGATCAGCAATATTCAGCCGCGAGTCTTAGATAACACTCGACTCACGTGAATAACCCCCCCTCAAGCGGTCCCTCTGAACCAACGACCAATAGTTTCATTGCATCCGGTCTCTTTCTCGAAACCGAAACAAACACGCCACCTTCCAAGCCAGTACTCAATCCCATAAGTTCCAGGAGGATTTTCCCCCCTTTACTCGTATCTGCGCTTATCTCCTTTTCCTCCAATTGTTCTGCAAAATAATGTTCTTTCAAAGAGGAACTGGAGAATGCCACATGATTGTTGGCACAAAAAGCTTCCCATGGATCGTCAGGTAGAGGCTTGACAATGGGAAGATTTCTAAGCGAATGCTCGGCCAACTTGTCTCTGAGCTTCAAAAGATCTCTGCAAAAGTCGATCGAGCTGTCTAAACACGATGAGGTCGCCTTTCCCCTGGAATGCCTGTGATCATATTTGTCTAGTAGAGCGACGAAAGTAGACATCTGATGCAATACATCCTTGCAAGCGATCGCAATAGAATCTCCTGCCTGCTTCCAATACTGCATGGATTGCATCTCATTAGCTTCATTCTCGTTAAACTCCTTCAACCCTGGACTCTGACCTTTCCAGTCCCAATTATCAACGATTAGAGATGACATCTTGTGGTCGACAAGCGAGTTGAGAAACTCCACTATGGGCGCGTAGAATTCAGACTTCTTAATCAGATCTTTAATGGAAGTATGGCTCATTAACACTTCTATAAGATTCAGTACAAAAGCACTGCATCTATGAAGTGCAAAAAGCTCTGCAGGAGGATGCTCGTCGAGGAATGACGAAGCGACCTTATTTCTCTTACCCTCGCTTGCGGATAAAGGAACAAGGTGAGAGAGATAGGGAAGATATTTTTGAAGTATATCATTCAGCTTTTCCTCTTTCTTTCCCTCACTCTTGGGGACAGCATCCAGGTTTCCTCCAAGCTCTCTTTCAGCTTCTTCATCCATCAGACTCAAGAAGGCCCAAACACTGAATAACTTCCCATTTCCACAACAGTTTAGTATTCTATATTTCTTTTCTCCCTCTTGAAATTTGGTTACCAGTCCTATACTTGCTGGTTTTTGTCGACATCCAATACAAGTATCTCGCTTACATTTTCGACATTGTAGTGTAGAGAGATATTGTAAGCGACGGTTGGTTGTGTGTAGCCATTTGGCTACATGTGTTTCCAGATTTGGAAGGGGAATTGGCGTGCGACATTCTCGATATTTCAGATTGGTGAAGTAACCGTAAAGATGGCGGAGATTCTGAATGTCCGTCAAGGCGGTTGGATTTTCCGGTATCGATATGCTCGAGTCTTCCTCGGGGTCCTTCTTTATGCTGCTTCTCTCCTTAGGGATTTCAAAGGGTTGGTTGTCCGGATGGAAGCTTCTGTTCTTATAAGTTCTGTTTTTGAGGAAGAACGACATCTTGAGATGATGTAGATTCTGTCGTGCGAGGCGTTTGCGGATGGATATTGTTGTTGGAAATAATTTTGGAAATCATGAAGGCGTAGTTATGAATCAGAGTTATGGGCTGAGACTTCCTTTTGAAAAAGCTACATTCAAGTAGTGAATCATCTTGGGTATTAAGTAGTGAATCATCTTGGATATTTACTTAAATTTAGCGAAGACGTGATGAATTGTGAATGGACAATACTTAAGAGATAAACCATGTAACAGTCACCCACCAGTGTTGTTGATTAAGCCGAGTTGACATAGCTGCGCTATAGTCGATAGATTCTGGTACGTAACCTGCAAACTGAAATCACCACAAGAAGTTGCTAAACACTTAAAGATACAACCTCATTATACGAATTTCACTCTTTCTCTGTGGTAAAAGAGACGGCTGTGCTCCAATTTAAATGATCTCGCTCCCTTGTTGTGAAAATCGCTTTGACTTCTCGCAAATTCATACACTGAACATGGGGATATATGAGCCATTTATCGTCCATTCGTCACACGTCAGATGAAAGGCTTATTGTTGGTTTTGTTTTGTTGTTGTTGGCTAGCTTCAAACGCTTATACTTCTCCATATATGAACCAATCAGAAGGCTCTATTTTGTGGAATAGCTGAAGGATAAAGCGCTCTCGGCCTCGCGTCCCGTAAGGGGAGCAGTAAAACTATCTAAAAATAGGCACACAGCCAATAAGCAAGCACAAAGCTTAGTAGTTTAAAATAGGCACACAGCCAAGAAAGAACACACAGTTCTAAAGGACGCTAGCTCGCGCTAGCACATAGCACGGCGAGCGATTAGCGAGGGGTAAATTACGTGCGTGGGAAAAAGAGCTCCAATAGTGTGACTGACAATAATGTTGTGGTGTTGCTAGTTGAGGAGTTAGCTGTACGAGGGGAAATATAATATATTCCCCGCACTTCCTCATTCACTATAAACCACTACTATTTGTAAAGGGTTGGCTATAGTATGAGAACCAGATAGCGAATTCTCTAACCTCTTTAGTTATCTCGATTGGTACTGTCTACACAGTTTGAAGTTACGGTCATAATGAAGGCTTCCCAAATAGCAGATTGAATGAATCCTTTTTTCTCTGAGTGCGAAAATATCCACCCGCGTGGCTCGTCAATTTAACCCAGGAATATGCATCATTCTGTGTCCTATAAAATTGTCACCCCTCAAAAGGTATATCAAGAATCCTTTCCCATATTTTGATAAATTGCGGATGATGTTTCGATCTTACGAAGTATGGTGCAACTTTTGGTGGGGTGGGGTGTTGTTTCTTCCCCAGCGCTCTCGCTTAAAGAAACAAGTGGATCAGATACCCCACTCACTCCCAGTACGATTCTATCTCAGCTCTAGCGAACTCGCAGAAGAAAACAGAAAACACAGAATTTAATCGCGCAAAGAACAGGGCTCGCACTGAGTATTTTTAAACCAATATGGAATACATTTCGCCAAATTGCCTACCAAGTCGGCACATGTATACTTGAGCGCGGCGGTATGTTTCATCATTCTGGATTCAGGAGGCGACGTTTCCAACCCTGCTTCTAAATATGAAGTACCGTATCTGTCTTATCCCTCCATTTCACCCCTTCGCATCAACTCCACAGTTCACAATTTTACTCTGGATGATCTACGGTGTTCCCCGGATGCATCAACTTGCGACGAAGATCTTGACTGCCAATGCCATGTTCTTTTCTTATGGTCGATCGTCGTCTCTTGAAACACACGCACCGCGCCTGATCAACACGCAGGCAAAAATACTTTGAAGGACCTCCGTACTCCTTGTTCTCAGGATTTTCTCTCATCAGCTGAATATCGGTGTTAGAGATCATCAGGTCAAAGTCCCTTGGCTATTTTTATCATGTGAATATAAGGCAAGTCGTTCCTGTTTCTTCGATATCATATTTCTCATACCTATCCTCAAAAACATATTCAGCCCAGTCCTGCAATACCAAACCAAGCCTTTCATTTCTTTATAAAACCCATTTAATTCACATCACATTTCATCTCTTTCAACCCCTCACAATGCAATTCACATCCCTCTGCGTCCTCGCCCTGGCCGGCTCAGCACTCGCAACCCAAGCACCAGTCAACAAGCGAGAACCCCAACTCCTCGACAACATCGCCAACAAAATCGGCGAAGGAACAGGCGCCATCAACACCGCCATCAGAGATGGTTCAGGCCTAGCGCAAACGCTCGGCAACCTCGTAGGCACAGCAGCAGGCACCAGAGTAGCCGACGCAACACGAGCACTCAACGACGGCGCCGCCCAAGCTACCAACGCCGCAGGAGCAATCGGCAACATTGTTGCCAACCCCGTCGTTTCCTCCCTCGCTTCTCTAGCTGCTACCAACACCCGCTTAAATCCTTTGCTACCACAACCCACACCCACAGGTGGTCTCCGAACCGCCCCAACTTCTCCTGGTGTTGCGTCTCCCACCGGCGGGCTCCCACCATCCAATGGAACGGCTGCTGGTAGCTCTGGCTCGTCGACCACAGCGAGCTACTCGGCTGTTCCTGCTGCGGGTGTTATTTTCGCCTGTACCTTCCTTGCTATGTTTGGATACATGTAGATCGTTGACGGTCTTGTTTCTTTTCTTTATGAGTTTATTTCTGTAACGTTGCATATGAGCGGAGTTTTGCTATTTGGAGCATGGGATATGGAGTTAGCGTTGGTATGCTGGCATTTTGGGGGGCTTCTGGAGGATACTTGTATATCAGGCTATGAGATATGGGATATGGAAAGAGGAATTGTCTTTGCAGCGCATGACAGTTTCTAAAAATGATAAAAAGATTGTGTACCACGATATCCATTCTCAACCGTGCCTTGAGCATTGAACTGACAAAAAACTCTTTTACCACCAAAAGTTGACTCATTTTAACCGATCGTAGCATAAGATTCCAACGTTCGGCACTTGGAATACGATTCCAAGGATTCCAAGATTCCATTCCAAGGTGGAATATTCCAAAGGCTCTTGAATTTGTCTCCAAACATTCCAAAGATCAAAGGATTAGGAGTTTGGTTCCCTAAGTAGAATATATATATATATATAACGTAGTCCACAAGCGAGTTGGATTCCCAAGCGAAATGGATTTTTTTCTTGGCATTTTATAAATTCTTAAATATCTCACGACACAATTAATTAAATTAATTACAGTATTCAGAATCGGAATTCTCACATATTTCTTCTCCTTTTTGACAAGTTCGTATGTTATGGCCATGTTTCCCACATAGTCCACAGCGCCGGCGAGGTACTAGACTCGGGCTCGTACAATTACTATTTTCTATTAAAACCACTTGTTCTTGCGAATCAACATTACTAAGGACCCCTAAATCTTGCGCATCTTGGAGAGTAAGTGATCCTCCTTCCTGT